AAATTTGCATAGAAAACTTCCTAAAAGTGAACAAACACTAGAATAAATTTAGGTGTATTTATTAATAATGAATTATGGCTCAGATAAGGCTCATATAATTATTTAAAGTAGTTCAATCAAGTCAATATTTAATTTAGATATGTTTACTTAGAATTTACTGCGTACAATCTCCTGTCAAGTTTGTTTTTTATAGATAAAAACATTGCGTGGGACTGGTGCACACACATTTCCACCCCGTAAACCATGTATAAAATACTACAAAAATATTACAGATACAGTTGAAGTCTGAATTATTAGCCCCATGTTTATTTTTTTATCCCAATTTCTGTTTAACACATTCCTAAACATAATAGTTTTAATAACTCATTTCTAATAACTGATTTATTTTATCTTTGTCATAATTACAGTACATAATATTTGACTAGATATTTTTCAAGACACTTCTGTACAGCTTAAAATGACATTTAAAGGCTTAACTAGGTTAACTAGGCAGGTTAGGGAAATTAGGCAAGTTATTGTATACAGATGGTTTGTACTGTAGACTATCGAAAAATATATAGATTAAAGGGACTAATAATTTTGTCCTTAAAATAGCTTTTAAAAAATTAAAAACTGCTTTTATTCTAGCCAAAATAAAACAAATAAGACTTTCTCCAACCCGCTCTCTCTGCTTTCCCTTCACTTTTGTCAGTGACAATGCTGCGCGCATCAGTTTTTTTACATTCGTCAGAAGTTAAGCCCCAAAGTGACACAGGTGATACAAAATTAAACTTCAGTAATGTTCATGTTGTGAAAAACTATCGAAATGTCCAGTTGTTTATATTAGACTTTTGTTTTCAATAGCGATTTTAAAACTTTTAATATAGGAAGTCAAATATTGATCAAATATTGATCAGAAATTGAGTGTACATAGTTTAACGTTAGGAAATGCAGTCTTGAATTTACAAACAGTCGGCAAGTACCAGAGAATAGATGTAACGCATTAATATAATGTAGTTTTCAGTCACGCTCATGTAAAAGAAATATTCAACTCATTTAGTTTTGACTATTCATTTTTGTTTTCAGTAGAGACATAAAACACATGATTTATTTACAACACATTTTTAAACATAATAGTTTAACTAATTTCTAACTACTTATTTGTCTTTCCCATGATGACAGTGCATAATATTTTACAAGTTATTCTGCACGATAGCTGTTAATTTAGATTAGTGTCATTTAAAGACTTAACTAGGTTATGTTAATTAGGAAAGAATAATGAGTCTTTATTGTATAACTGGTTTGTTGTGTAGACAATCACAAATATTTATATATTTCCTAAAGGGGGTAATAATACCGACCTTAAAACTGTTTTTTTTTTTATTATTAAAAGCTGCTTTTATTCAAGACAAAACTGTAAGAAATAAGATTTATTATGACCTCAGAATAATATTTTTTGTTTTATAGGAAATACTGTGAAAATGTTCTTGGTTTGTTAAAGATCACTTGAGAAACATTATTTTAAATGAATGTGAGGGCAAAATAAATTGACTTTAACTGTATCTGTTAAAGTTTACAGGTGCAAAAATGTGCCTTGATGTACTTGAATGTTAAAAATCCTACAATACAAAGTTACTTGCCAAATAAATTAACATGGAAGTTTATTTTAATTACGTTATTTAATTAGCTTGTTTATAAAGACTGCAGAGTGATGCGTCAAAAAAAGACTTTGAAAAGTTGTATAAGTAGTTTGTGATGTATGTTAAAGTGTGCCCCCTCAAAGCACAAGTGGTCCCTGCCTGGCCCCCATTTACTCTGGTGTAGAACCGCCACTGCTTCAAAGTGAAAAGTTGACTTTAGCTGAAGTAAATCCATTTTTAACTTGGAATTGTTAAGTTGATTTAATTTAAGTGTGCACATGAACACTTTAGAATAATTGATGTTGGTTATTGTATTTACTAACATTAACTAAGCACAAAAAATCTTAAAAAACATTTATTAATCATTCAGCAATAACAAATGCATTAATAAAATCCAAAGTTGTGCTTGTTTACATTAGTTAATGCACTGTGAGTAACATGAACGAACGCTATTTAACTTAACATTAACTCACAAAGATGAATAAATACCAAAATATATCTGTTACTAATAATTTATGTTAGGAAATACATAATCTACATTAACTAATGGATCATTATTTTAAAGTGTAACCATGAAATTAACTAATCATTTTAAAGCACCTAGTTTACTTGCTTTTCTAAAGTAAAGTGAACTAAACGCTTTTTACAGTGTAGTAGAGATTAAATATACAATAATTTCTCTAGCCAGAAGGCGGCGCCACATGACCATTAAATATTTTTCTTGAATCACAGCAAACCAGTCCTCCTGACAATATCTTGACTAAATCACGTGTTCATGAGCAGAATTATACTTAAATATGCTGTTTTATCTTATATATCCTATTATTAGGTATTGTGTCCAGCAACACTCGAGACTATGCAGCAAAAGTGACGTATCCACACCTGAACTTCAGCATCCCGGTGACTCTTCTGGAGCCTCTGCTCAGACGCTTTGCTCAAACTGGAGACGCTGCTGTGTTTAATGTCTTAGACAGTGCAGTGGAGGATGTGAGGAAGGTATGGAGACTACAAAATATTCAGAGCAAGCTTTAATCAGTCCCCAAAATATACTACTAATAAAATAAATATGCAGATGGTATAAACTGTGATGCTTAAGATAGAAAAAATGAATTAAAAAGCGATAGAATTATATTTAAACAAAGTTATGTGTATAAGTTTGATTAAAGCTCACAGAAAATCAGACTTCAATTCCTTTTGCTGCCTAAACTGAGCTTTTATTAGACACATGCAAGTGATCATAATGACTGGTCAGTGTAGGTTAAAAAATGCTGTTGACATTCTTCAGCCGTAAACAATTATGTATTATTTTATAAAACGATTTAGGATATAAATGTTTATAAATTCTTAAACAGTTTAACGAAATAAAAATATGTTTGTTCAAAATGATTTTAGTCTTATTTACTTACCGGTTTGGGCATAAAACCACTGGATTTCATCATGATATTGTGTTGTAATGCTGATTTCTGAGTTACAGCCATTCACTTTTCTACGGCTTAGTCCCTTATTTATCAGGGGTCGCCACAGCGGAATGAACTGCAACTATTTCAGCCTGATTTATGCATAGGATGCACTTCCATCTGCAACCCAGTACTGGGAAACACCAATACCATCTCGGACTCACACACATACACTACGGCCAATTCTGTTTACCCAGTTTACCTATACTGCATGTCTTTGGACTGTAGGGGAAACCAGAGCACCTGGGGGAAACCCATGTGAACAAGGGGAGAACATGCAAACTCCACACAGAAATGCCAACTGGCCCAGCTGGGACTCGCACCAGCGCTCATCTTGCTGTGAGGCCAAAGTGCTAACCACTGAGCCACTGTGGTTTGGTTTCTTTTACACACAGCTACACAAGACTTGATTCTCTCAGTGGCCTTAAGTAAATATTTTAAAACATGCTAGCATTATCAACATCTTGTCATAATTTTAACATTTAATGCTGCATTATGACAGCATGTCTTAGTCATTCTGTTATATGTCATTATTTTTATGTAGAAATTTTTATCTTTTGATCTTTTAGTTCACATTTTTGGTTCAATAATGTTTTCATTTTTATCTTAAAATCTAGGTTTTATCTTAATATCAGAATCTCAATTTACAGCATTATTAGCATGTTATTATTTATTAGAATACATTTTCTTCCCCAAACCAGTGCTAAAACCCCAAAAACCCTTTGAAATGCTTTTAAAAACTCATAAACATAATAGAGTGTTTTGAGAGTTTCACTGTGCAGAGTATTTTCTTCTTAACAATGTTAAATGCGTCTTTTATTCTCTCAGTGAGTACATTTACATGGACACTAATAATCCGATTTTAATACCGTTAAGTCAATACTCTAAGAGTCTCTACCGCGTAAACAGCGATTTTTGATTAATTCGATTAAGGTCATAATCGAACTAAACAGAAATGGAATTAAGACGTGGAGTATGTCGATTTTAGTTGCATTATTGAAGTGCAGTACAGACATGTAAACACCGCAATCTAACTATTTCCGTCATGTGAGATTTTCAACGCATGTTGCGACAGGACAGTCTATTCACACACGGCTGTTTGTACAGTGGCCATGAGAGATTAACGCGCTGCAATTTAAGAAAGCACATGCAATTACAAAAAACACCAGCAAATAAAGAAACGGCCTTCATCAATTTGACAGCACACGTGTTGCAAATTGGTCACAACACAAACTGAAGAAACACGTTGCAAATTGGTCACAACGCTTGCAAATATCCACGTAACGCAACGGAAATTATTTAAGGGGACCCAAAAACATGACAGACCCTGCTTATGTCATGTAATCAAAAAACTCACCTTTCAAACAGTCACGGCATAATAACACATCCATATTTTAGCAGGATCCGTCATGTATCTAGGTACCCTAGAAACATTTCCGTTGTGTTACATGCATATTTGCAAGTGTTGTGACCAATTTGCTGTTTTTTCAGTTATTTGTGAAATGACATAAAACTCTGGATGAAATGTGGATATTGCGGTGATGCAAATTAATTGATTTATGTGTCATAACATGTAAAACAAGATCATGAAAGGAATGCTCATTCAGCGAGCAACTCAAGCAAACGCCTTAATCATTTTATCGTCTTATCAGGATTACGGCAAATAATTTGATTACTGATGTCCACGTAAAAGTAGTCAGTGACATCTAGTTAACATTTAGTTCATAATCCTCCATCTTTGAACCCTTGAGTGACTTACATCTCTTTTTTTTGTTGGGTATTTTTGGTATAGTCATAATACATTGCACTTGTCCCAGAAGAAAAATGTTTAAAAGTGGGTTGAAAAGATTTGTTTTCTCATGTCTGCGCTATCACCCAAAAATTAGCATATCGCAGAGCCTTGGGAATAATTAGGAGAAGAAAAGAACATCACTTGGGGCCCAGTGCCTTTAATCATATTCAGGCAAGAAAGATGACACACTCGGACAAAGAAACATGCAACTAAATGCAAATATACTGCAACTCAGCGTAAATATGTGTGCTAATCCTTAAAATCCAAGTATTTACAATAATAATGGCATGTACAGTACAATACAATCATACACTAAGTCCAAGTGGTTTAACATCACTGTTAGCAGACTCCTGACATCAGGACATTGACTTTTAATGAGCAGGCCTTCTTTCCACTCCATCACACACACACACACCAGCAAGGTGCTATCGCCTATGATGCTGATATAGGAGATTCATCTCAATGACATTTGGAGGATATATATTCTTCTTCTGTACGTTGATGAATGTGTTTACGTCGAGATGTTATCATATCAAATGCGTTTTCTCGTACATATGTGGAGCTTAGAGGGTGAATTATCATAGCACATCGAGTTTGTAATTCATACATATTTTACAGTTTCAGCTTGCTGCTCTTATTCCACAGCATTTTACCCTCTAAAACCGATGCTTTAAATATCTTGTGCTGCAAAAGTCATGTATTCTACTTTTTTTTAAATCCTCGCAGCTCCAGATTTACACCTAGGAACATTACAGCCAACACATCTTTCACTGCAAATGATGGGAACATCTGATTAGAAGACATCTGCAAAGACAGATTGGTCCCTTTGGGTGCATGAGAGAGAATATGTCAGATTGCATTTTCGAAAGCTCATTCCTGCCTCTCCTGTTCATCCATACGCTGGCTTGTTATAATAGCCGCGTTGCATCAGAAGTACCGTATTACAGCCTGACCTAGTGGAGTATAAGCAAATTCTATTATGACAGACATATGAAACCAGAGCGCGCATATCTCAGGATTTATTACTGTCCATTTCAAAGAAAACAATGATTTGGACGGCGGGGTGAGGGAATAAGCTACTGCATCGAGACGTAATTTATATGAAAATATAATGCTTTGCCGTCTCTGGTTTCAGTGGATTATTACACAAAAGACGAGAAAAAATAGTGCCTTTAGGACATGGATCGTCTTGTAGAAGTGCATTGTGTGTTTCTGGCAAGTAGCCTAATATCGGTTGCGGTTTGTGAGTGTGGAGAAATATGTCTTCAGATACACAGATGAAGGTTTTATCGCAATACATTTACCTCTACGTCTGCTTCAATGTAGAACAAAACATATGCAGCTGAGACTTTAGCAAACATAATTAGCTTTTCAGCTAATTTAAGCAATCTTAGCTAGTTCTGTGGAGTTTTTGTCTCTTGTAGTGTAGTATTAGCTTTTTTGAGCCATGCCAATTTAGCTTGTTGTGTTTGTCTCTTTACAGCTCTAAGCTAACCAAGCTCTTAAAATTTATTGTGTCTTTTTGTCCGTTTTGTTGTATAGTATTGTTTTTTTTAGCTAAGCTAACTTGGCTAAGTTGTTTTTGTGTAGTTTATATCTTTTTTTGTAAAGGCTAGCAAATTCAGCTAAGCTAATTCAGCTAGTTTAAAGAATTTTTCTCTTGTAGCGTAGCATTAGCTAAGTTAAACAACTTTTAGCAAACTTAGCTAAGCTAACCAGGCTAGTTTTTGGAATTTGTGTCTCTTTGTCTCTCTTATAATCCGAGTTTGTATAAGCTTAACCATTTATAGGACACTTTTAAAACAATTTACATAAACTTTAACAGCAAAAACATTTAGCAGCAGTCTCATTGCTCATGGAAAGCAGTTGCTGATGGTCGACAAAATATCTAATGAAACAGGTTAGACCCTGAAGCCTGTCTACCTTTATATACATACTTTAAAAAGTTAGACTTAACAGGTATCATTTCCGAATGTATAGTGATGAGAGTATGTATTTATTAGACTTGCATAAGAAAGAACGCATCACATCACACCTATCAAGCGCCTAATTCTGAGCTTGTGTTTGCAGATGCTAGAGACTGATTCAAGAGAAAACTCTTGCACTTACAACAAAAATTATGATGTTTCACAAGTATTCATAAGCCCAATAATTGAAAACTCGTTCCCAAAACCGTTATCTCACTACAGCTAATACTAACTGAGCTGCCCTTCCCCCCTCCCTCCCCGAGTCAATGCTGTTTGGAGTGCAGTATAAAGATGACCGACCCTCCACCATTTAATGTCAGAAGATAGAGCTGCCTCTGTAGAAATGGGCCACAGAAAGCTACGTCGAACAAGGCGGGAATCGTGTTTCCTTCTACCAGATGTATCCACCATCATCTACCTCTCCCACCTCCCCTTCTTCCTCCTCGGCCTCTTCGCCGTTTTCCTCAGCCTCCTTCTCCTCCTCATCTTCCCATCCCAGGCCGCTGCCAAAATCTCCAGAGTATGTGACCACCTCATCTGGAAAATGAGAAGACACATGCACATTTTTATTTTGTAAATACATATATGTTCATTCATTTTGCTTCGGCTTAGTCTCTGAACCGCCAATATTCCGGCATAGATTTTACACAGTGGATGCTCTTCCAGCCACAACCCAGTACTGGAAAACACCCATTTACACACACTCATACACTACGGCCAATTTAGTTCCCACACAAACACAGGGAGAACATGCAAACTCCACAGAAATGCCAACTGGCCCAAACTGGGAATGGAACCAGCGACCTTCTTGTTGTGCAAACCCTTTATTACCACAATGTACCCATCTTCAGATGGCTACTTCCAGCAGAATAATGTGCCATGTAAAGCACAAATCATCTCTGACTGGTTTCTTGACATAATAATGAGTTCACTGTACTCAAATGGCCTCCACAGTCACTAGATCTCAGTCCAATAGAGCAATAGAGGCGACAGTGCTAACCACTTAGCCACTGTGCTGACAATACATATATGTTTTTATATTTTAGTAGTTTTTAAAAATGTTTTTGTAGTATTTCAGTCCTTTTTTTGTCTTAGAAGAATTGAATAAATACATATGACAAGTTTAATACGTGTAAGGTATATTAAATATTTATTTTAGGTTACTGATTTTGGATTAAATACGTCATCAATAAAACTAATTATATGTACGTGTGTGTGTGTGTGTGTGTGTGTGTGTGTGTGTGTGTATGTATGTTTATACAAATGTTCTGTGGTTCTTGAATCTGATTGGTTGATAGCTGTGCAATATTCTGCAATATCAAAACTCGAACAGCTTCTTCACTCTTGTGTATTACTCCGCCCACATAGAGTGACAGCAGATGAATAAGCTCACTAGTTTGACTAATATTGTGGCTGTTGGACAACATAACATACTTTTGAGGCTTTTTTTAAGGGAGAATGTAGTTGTTTAGGTTGCAACTATGTTCTACCACTAGATGGCGACACAGATCACATAAAAAGCCCTAGAGGAAAAAAGTCAGTATAATTTTTAGCTACACCTTCAAATCATTATTAAACTGGTAAGTGACTTTCTAAGTTGATCACTCTCTTTTGTATGTTGTAGTGCTGCATTTATACCATAGTAATCAGGTAGTGTTTTCTGGTAGTGTCTGCTTTGCTTTGGTTTTTTCAGAGTTAATTATTGTGACATCCTGATTACAGCAGAGAAATACTAGAAAATGTCTCTAGACTGATATCATTTCAAGCCGTTCAGCCTTATAATCTTAAAATGTGAGCAAAAATCACCTGTTTTGTCATCATTTTAGACATTACGCTAGAGAATCATTCAAATACTAGCTCTAAAGTGACATTTGTAAATTACCAATGGTTTCTGCTGTTCTGACGTCAGCAGGTGGAAAAAAGCAGTTCCTCATTCAAAAGGTTTTGAGACTCTCCATGTTTGATTTTCTTTTTTATATACACAATTATGCCATCGAACTGTTGTATAAATGCAATATCACATAAGTAGAAGTGCGGTATGTTGTCACTGGTGGGACACTGTGGCCTTGTGCTAATATACCAATATACAGCCATATTGCACTGGTACTTGTGTGATATTGCTCGTATGTATGTATGTATGTATATTGTTTTAGAAAAAAAATTTGTAAAATTATAAATAATTTATTGATCTGATAAATCTATATTTTGCTTATATTTTTTCATTTGACATTTTAGCCATAATTCTACATGACTTTCCCACAAACACATGTACTGTATACACGCACAGTTTTATATATATATATATATATATATATATATATATATATATATATATATATATATATATATATATGAATGTGTCTGTAAAAAAAATGCATAAAGCAAATATGTCTACAGTACACCATATTGCAAAGAAAGCTTACCAATTTCCGCTCGACAAAAGCTGAACAATACACGTCTGGCACAAGGACAATAAACAAACAGAAGGCGTGACTTTGACGTTGGTCTTTTTAATCGCTATTTTATGTCCAGTCGGGGGATTTGTTCTTATCACCTGCAGCTCTGTCGCAGCCAGTAGTAATTAATCTTACAGACCTTTATTTCTGCAAGACAACTGCTCTTTTGGAATGGAAATGAACCTGGCCTAATGAATGTAGCACTTGGTCTTCTGTCAGACGGGTGACTGATGATTCTGTGGATCTAAGCCCTGAGCCCTGTAGCTACAGAAGGAGCATTGTCCTCCATGTGTGTGTGTGCGTTTGTGCATGTGCCATAAGGATAGTAAAACCCGAGATTTTTGACATTGTACAAGAGAAAAATTGTTAAAAACTCTATAGGATGTTTATCGAAAGATGTAGGGGTAGGTTTAGGGGTAAGGTTGGGTTCACCGAAGAAATTATAGATTGGTCAGTATAAGTCTGTGAAATTCACAGAAACCCAATGCGTGTGTGTTTGTTTATGAGGACACACATTTGTATAATGACATCTGTATGACCTATAGGTTTCACAATGTTTACAGTAGGTGATTAACGAGGACATGCCTTGTGTCCTCGAAATTTAAAACTGTTTAAAATCACATTTAATAGTTTTTCACATTACATTTCTCATTTCGCCACATATTTGCTAAGAGGTATGTCTTCAGGGGTAGGGTGAGGCCATATAATAGGTGTTTTTTTATAGTATAAAATTTATTACACCTATGGAGAGTCCTCATAAATCACAAATGCCAACCTACGTCTGTGTATGTGTGTTTGTCTTTGTGTGTGTTAGTGTGTATTCGGGCATATGTGTGTGTGTGTGAGTTGAGCTCGTGCTCACCACAGTCGGGGTTGCCATGGATTCTGGAGCCCATTAGCTCTCCTCCATGCTGGTCCACACACCAACACTCCCCTCTGCTCTTGTCACACTGCAGTCTCCTGTAAAAGCCGTCCTCATCACAGCTGGGAATGTATGTATCTGAGCCCAAAATAAGGAGAGGAAACACACAGACATGCGCATTTTGAGAAGCCACAGTGTGCGTGTGTGTGTGTTTTGCATGCATTTTCATATCCTGAATGTTGCATCAAGGGTGACATTGCACACTAGTTAGCATATTGCTGTAAATCATGTGACATTGGAGCGACGCTGCTCATTGTAATGCATAAAATGTAACCTTGGCGAGGGTTGAGGGCTGGGTTTCTGTCTGCAGTGTCTCGAATCATGATGTGCGATAAAAACCAACTGTGCAGAGTAATAAATATATACTATATGTCCGCATAATCATCATGATCTATTGTGCTGTGAAAAGCTGGATTTAACCCTGTGATGGACTCGCGCATTCAATCTTTAGCAGGCAGTTTCAACAATTCAGGGTGTGATGGTGCATCTTAACAGACACGGGTGATTCTTTTGACCCATAATTCAGTTGGACTGTATTTATGTTTTGGTATTTTTTAATTTATTTATGAGAACATAAATTAAGTAAGGCTGGTGAAGGTGACAGTGTACTGCAGAACTTGAATAAGGATTGCATATAAACAAAACTATACACACACTCACCGGCCATTTTAATAGGTAAACCCGTCCAACTGCTTGTTAATGCAAATTACTAATCAGCCAATCACATGGCAGCATGTGGACTGGTCCGAGTATTTCAAAAACTGCAGGCACAGTTTAGTACCAATTGATCATCATGTCAACGCCACAGCCTACCTGAGTATTGTTGATGACCTTGGCTAGCACTTTATGACCATAGTGTATCCATCTCCTGAAGGCTACATCCAGCAGAATAACGCGCCATGTCATAAAGCGTGAATCATCTCAGACCTTTTTCTTGAACATGTCAATGAGTTCAAATTACTCAAATGGCCTCCACAGACACCAGATCTCAATCCAATAGAGCACCTTTGATATGTGGTGGAATGGGAGATTTGCATCATGGATGTGCAGCTGACAAATCTGCAGCGTCAACTGCCTGATGCTACCATGTCAATATGGACCGAAATCTTTGAGTAATATTTCCAGTGCCTTGTTGAATCAATGCCACAAAGGATTAAGGCAGTGCTGAAGGCATAAGGGGGCCTAACCCGGTATCAGTAAGGTGTACCTAATGTGTGTATAAACACTGTTTCTCCAAAAAAAATAAAAATAAAAGTAATAATATCACACAAAAATAAGACTGCTTATCATACTACAGGAATAAGAATAAATACATTACGAACAGGAATAACCCTTTTATTTCCTTTTCTTGGCAATGACTGGTGATGACGTAATGATGACATATTTATTTTTAGCTGCATAAAGCTTAAATAAAAAGGGTGTTTTGGAATGAAGATAAGAGTTTCATCAAAGGTTTACTAGAAATGAAAGGCTACATTGCTTCGCATTTTCCTTCGTGAATTTTCGACTAAAAACTGGACAAAAGTTAGGTTGGATTACTTGTGGCCGAAAAATTAATCGCACTGGATCAGTGTCATATGGTGGGGAGTGGTAGTCCACGCACTGCCCAAACTGTTGAAAATATCACCACTGTCGATGACATCATACTGAGCCGTTGACATATAAATCAGGTAAGGTGGAAAACGTATACATATCATATAATTTCATGTATTTGCCATAAAGTTACAAAATACAATAAAACTTGGAGGTATTTTGACGAAATTCTGGCAATTCATTTTGCTTGTGTTTTTTTTAGGTACACCTAACTGCATGATCAGCAACAAAACTCGGGTAGGCTTTGGCGTTGACAATTCTCAATTGGTACTACTGGGCCAAAAGGGTGCCAAGAAATGATAACATCACCACTACCAGCCTGAACCGTTGATACAAGGCAGGATGATTCCATGCTTTCATGTTGTTTTTGACAAATTCTGACCCTACCATTCAAATGTCACAGCAGAAATCGAGACTCATCAGACCAGGCAACGTTCTTGAGTTGCTGCCAGTTGATTAAAAATTTGCGTTTACGAGCAGTTGGACAGGTGTACATAATAAAGTGGCCAGTGAGCAGGAGCAGACTGGCCATTGGGAGCAGCTGGATATTTCCCGGTGGCCTGACAGTCGACAAAGATAAGACCATTTGAAAATTCGTAGTTTCTCTGGATTTATTAGTTTAATTAAGCATGGGTTTGAGAAAAACAGTCTGATTGCATTTTTTCAAAATTAAAACTAAAAAATCTATTTCCCTCTTTTCCAGAAAAAAAGTTACAATTGATCAGAATTTTAATGGATTCATTTGCTGTGACTGAAAATCATTTAACTTTATTCAACCAAATATTGTTACAAAAAAAAAAACAATTGACATTTTAATCAACATTTACAGTAACTATAAACCATGAATTCACAAAAAGGGAAAATTTTCAAGTGATTTTTTTAGTGTACAAAATAAACTTTTATTTCTTCGTGATTTAACAATTAATGCATTAAACATTTTAACAGTTTGTAGTTTTAGAATTTCTTATACCCAGAATTCCTTTCCATCTTTATGTGTAATCATATGTTTTCTAATTAAGAAAACCCATTCAACCCATTATATTACATATTGAAACTGATATAAAAAAAATGTCTAAACAAAGCAGCTGTTAAAGTTTTTTCTTTCTGTTGTGGCGTATTTCAAAGTGAAACAGTTGAAAACATTGAGTTCTGGACTCAATTTTGTCTATTTGCATTTGAATTGCTCATGGTGGTCGATCTAATATGACTGACTGGTTGTCTTGCCCTCATGAAAAATCGTAATTATCTTAAAGATTATAAAGCCACATTAATTTTTCAGCAAATTATGAAAATTTATAAAACAATTGTGCAACAATTTTCCACAAACTGTCCCTTTTGTTCTCATGGTGTCATTTAAAATAAATCAAATCTACCTCCAAGATAATAATGTGTCAGTCTTTTAAAACTGATGGATTTCTTCTGTTGAGTATTGTATTGCTGATTCTTGGCAGGCATTGAGGGACGTTTGTACATTGGCTGCGTCTGATTGGCTGTAGCATCTGCAGCACGTCCTTGGAGAGTCTTGAAATGACTGCAGCCAAACATGCAGCACTACAACGGCGCTATAATCCACACACCTGATCACAGCTAATTCCACCTACAGTAAATCAAACTCCATTACTACCAGTGTCTTTCAGAGTCTGCACCTTTTCTCTTGTGTTCTTTTATCGTGTACGTTCTATATAACTCTCCCTTTGTTCCACCTTTATTTGTGCTTCCCGAGACAGAACAGCAGGTCTCGGCAGAGTGTTCATTCTTACCCGACTTCTTCTTGGCTCCTTCTTGCAGTTGGATTCGCTCGAGCTCAGCCAGGCAGGGAGGCTCTGTGGAAGAAAAAAAAACAATCAGTGCCTTTAGGGAAGAGTCGGCGCTAATCTCCTCAAGACAAACGCTTCACACGAGCTCCCCTACCAACTCCCAGATGAGGCAGCATTACAAATCACACTATCACACCCAAACACACAAGTGGCAACACAGAGAGTTCAAATCTCCATTTTTGTGGCAAAAGAACTGATAAAAGAAAGCAGAAATTAAATTTTGAGTTGTTTTTAACAAAGGGAACACCTGTTGGAAATGATTTCTACGTAAGACATGAGGTGAAGTGTGCAATAAATTAAAAGTAGGTTTCAGTCATAATTTAACCTCAGCCTCACATCATTTAAAACCAACACAACATTTTCTGTGGAACAACAAATAAGTTATTTAGAATAATGTTCAAGCTGCACTTTCACATTTAGTGAAATGAAATAATGAACACGGTTATCAATCTGTATGATATTGGTGAAGTGTACAACAAATTAAAAGTAGGCTTCTGTCATAATTTAACCTCAGCCTCACGTCATTTAAAACCAACACAACTTTATTTTCTGTGGGACAACAAATAAGTTATTTGGAATAATGTCCATGCTGCACTTTCACACTTAGTGAAATTAAAAAATGGACACAGGTATTAAGCTGTACGATATTGATAGAATATTTTTACACATTTTTCTGGGTTTGGTGTGTTGGTCTACTGTGATCTGTTGACACAAGTGGCTCAGAAAGAAGGTTAAGTGTAAACTGAGTATGTTAACTCTAAAATGAGGGAAACTCTGAGTTTTCCATATCAGAACAGAAGGTTTGTTAAATTCAAAGAGTGAGAAAAGTCAAGCCTATATCCAAAAGGGAGGTAACTCAGAGACAGTTACTGTGGTAACTTTCTCTGTGAACCTAACCTGGTCAGATTTTCTTTGATAAACCTACAAACTAAGCTTTCTTTTAGATTGCATGCTATGTTTAAAAGTTTCATTCATGTATGCTGCAAAGAAAAAAAATCCTACTTAGTGTTTATTGCATTTCAGATACAAATATAATATATATTTTCAAAGAAAACAATATAAAAAATGAAGACTTATTTCCTGGGCTCTTCTAAATTAGGTGCATTTTGCTTAAGTAAATTACCTGCCAATGTGGTAATAAGAATAATCAGTCCAGTAGTCAATCTGCTTTCACCAAGTAGGACATGTTCCTGAATTAACATCTATGTTGATCCTTAAACAACATTCCAATCAGCCAATCAGAATTGAGAGCTATGTTTACTTTTATGTTAAATTTAGGCTTATGGTTAGGTTTATGCACTTCTACATATAGATTCATATCCAGCTATTATTCCCCTCTGATTTTGGGAATAATTTACAGTTGTGGTTGGGTTTAGGGGTAGAGAATAGGTATGGATTACATTTATTAACAAAAATGGTGTTAAGGATCAACAGTAATATTAATCCAGGATTGCATTGTACTTGGCAAAATTATGGCAAGCTAATGCCAATCATTAAAACTTTTTAAAACTTAGTTAAAACCTAATAGCTCACTTAATTGAGCATTTAAGCTTTATAATATTAAGACAGTACAAATACTAAATTATTTAAAATGAATGTTTTATATGATTTAGACTATTGGTATATGAAGTTAATTTAGGAAATTAAATACTATTTTAAAACATGATTATTACTAAAAGAGGATGGCACGATGGCACAGTGGATAGCGCTGTCGCCTCACAGCAAGAAGGTCACCGGTTCAAGCCTCAGCTTGGCCACTTTCCCAGTGATGGGTTACAGTTGGAAGCTTGAGTAAAACATATGCTGGATAAGTTAGTGGTTCATTCCACTGTGGCCACCCCTGATTAAAAAAGGGGCTAAGCCGAAAAGAGAATAAATGAATGAATATTACTAAAAGTTTTGCACACCACTATAATTAAGTAAGGTTTAATTCAATGTGTGTGTCCAGAAAACTGAGACATTTTATGCTTGACAACCCTAGTGCCTATTCAAATCCATTGTATGCAATGTAGCTTGGTTATTCCTCGAAATACCTACTTTTAAAAACGTATTTATTTATTTAATACTTTTTCCAGATTCTAAAATGATATACGGGTGAGTAAACAATGACATAACATTTTCTCTAAAAATGAAATCAGTGCAATACATCCTGGAATATCCATCAATATTCCAGCGCTATCATATTTCACCACTGCATGTGAGGGCCGAGCCGGTCAAGTCTAAAAAAAATGCAGTGTGTTTGTGTCTGACTGCCCATCTGCTTTTAGTCCCAGAGAGTTTGAGGCCGAGCAGCCTGTCAACTACCAACACTGATGTTATTTTTCCCTTTGCAGTGGCCATTTCCTATTCACCCGGGGAAATACAAGGGGAAGACAAAGTGTGACAGGCCAAAAAGCAACTGTGGCCTACCCAGGAGAGATGAGAGTGCCCAGCCACATATCGTGAGCAGAATCGCTTCAAACAGAGTGTGTGTGTTTGTGCGAGTGTTTGTGTGTGTGTGAAGATTCTGCAAAGATACAGCTTTGTGGCCCTCCAGTGAGATGCATAGTGGAGCATATGTCTGTTTGTGTCAGGAAGCCTGCCATGCTCCATAGATCAAGTAAACACACACACACAAATACACACACTCAGAGGAATTCCTCAAACAAAAGAACACACTCACACACACACTGACGAGTCTCATTAATATGTAGAACATGTCTGCGATGAACACATGCACATGCAAACAGACCAACGCTGTTCCCTGCTGACACACACTCGCAGACACACACTGAGGCTACATTTACGCTGGTGCGTTTTTATTTTAATCCGGTGTTTTAAAATGAATATTTTCCTCACCCACGCTGGTGTTTCCACTATGTTTCAGAAAACATCTCATGATTAAAAACACATAGCAGAATCTGAAAGCAGCTCTATTATTCAATAAAACACAAAGCATATTGCAAGGTTTCCACTTTAAGACGTTTCCCTGACTCTTACTGAAAACTAAACTGAACTTAGCGATGTTTTATAAACAAACTTCTGGAGGAGCATGTGCAGATGATGTAATTAGATGCAATTCTAATACACCATTAACAATCATTCTATTATCCAATCAGTATTAGAGCAAACCCCAGTGTAATGATGGTCTAACCAAAACCAATTGTTTTGATCCATTGTACATTCCTGGATGAAAACAAATGCAAGCGCAGGTTGCCAGAATCTGTTGGAGAGAGGACCAAAAAGAGCGAGTCTGACTATACCAACTATCGAGCCTAATGGCTGACTTAAATCGTGTTTTAAATAAAAGCAACGGTTTTTGTCCTAACCAAAAAAGAGTATTTGTTCTAACCAACACCTCGAATTGATATATTAGAAACGGCTTCTATTTCTTGCAGCTGAACAACAGGACAAACTGACAATGATCCCCTCAGGTACACCGTATGTGCTTTATTTAGTGTTAAATGCTAACAATGCGAGTTTGAATGCCATTTTACATGACATTTATTACTACTGAAAGCAGAAGTAGTACACCTCAGATCTTGAAAAAAAAAAAAAAACATTTCAATTGGACATTAGAACTATCACTATCAGAACTAGCACTATCAACGATTCAGCAACTACATCTAATAAAATTAAAGAGGTTTAATTTGTATTAATTAGATTAGAGACCTTACCATTTGGTGAGTGAGTGCATATTCCGTGCTTCTGAATGGCTGTATTTAAATTTCTATCTTGCTTTGTCTGGTGCAAACAGCCCAATTGCTCATCACTGCAAATCACGTCATGTAGCATGTTGTTAATACACGGGTTTACAATGTAACCTGCTCATCTAATGTTTACGTTCGTAATATTTATATTATATTAAAAACCTCATGTGAAACTCTGAATCTGCATCTCTTTTCGGAGTCTGCTACTGTCCATCAGAGGTCGCATTTCAGTCACGCATGTTCAGTTACGCATCCTGACTGAATGAATTTTTCACCAAGGCAACCTGGGTTGCTGAAATATAACTGGTTATTGGGCAGGTTAAAAGAACCAAAGCAAGGGTTACAGCAAGTAACGCACATTTTCAAAGCAGAATAACTAACTACAGCACTGTTTTTCAGATAAACAGATTTATTCATTTGCCATGTTTCTTAAACATCTGCAAACATATTATGGTATTTTTATGGTTTAGAAGAGTCAAAAACTTACATACAGCATCTTGTGTAACAAAAAGAAATGTATATGTTATATGTGTTTAGCATAGAACAAGACAACAATCTGAAAATAGAAGTGACTATATAATTACAAAGTAGTAGTACAAAATATAGTACAAAATATAGTGCAAAACTGTCTGCAAAGTTAATAAATAAGACATTAATTGTAAAATCAATTATATATATATATATATATATATATATATATATATATATATATATATATATATATATTAACTGTACTATTTGTAATTTTAACAAGAGCTAATTTTTATTAAATTATTTTTATCATTCAGTTACTGTACTTGAATACCGTTAGACACATTTTATAATCAATTGTATCTTTTTCTAGTGATCACAATTACAAAACAAAACTCAGTGTAATGTTACATGAGAGGAGCTTGATGAATAAGGGAGATGCAATGGTACAAACGAGCCAATCAAGGATTGAAAGTGACCATTTTGGTCATCTAAGCAGAAACTTCATGGTTTTCAAACTGTAGTAATATGGATGAATACCGTAGCAAAAGTTGTGCATTTTAAAACAAAAACAACCAAGTGTTAAAATAGCTTTAGTGTCAGTCGCTCCCACAACACAACAAAACACATCAAGCAGCAATTCCTCCAGCGTTGCGCATCTCATCAAACTAATACTCCAAATCACTTTCCCCACATGCCCCAAACAGCTAAAGGTCATTCGAAGCCCTCTCATTTTCTCGCCAACGGGGTGTTTGTACAGGAAATGAAAGATTTGGATTACAATAATCCAAACATATGCTTCCCCCTCCCCCCTTTAATGTTTGATTATATTTAGAAAACCAATTAAACTTAATCCAGAGCAAACGGAATGAGTTAATGGCGAAAATCTTGGCACACAAACACACTTTCCTGAAGCCCAGTGTCTTCTTTATCTGCAATGCCAGTCTAGTGAATGTTTATATAAAATAAATGCTCATTTTCTGGGCTTTTGTAATGGAAACTAAACATGCCCGCTTCAATCCAATTTAAACATGATTTTGGATTTGAAAGGCCAACTCTCTGAAGCAGTGTTGAACGGGCTCAAACACTGAGGATTGCTGGCACGGACGCTCGGCCATGTGTCCTCCTTCTGTCACGCTGATAAAACCAAGCAGAGCAAACTGTTGACCGTGGCACTGACCAGCAGGGTGCAGGGCACAAATGTGCAATGATGACTTTGGTCAGAGCTGATTTGAAAGTAGGACTTTCACAATTATTGATTAATTGTCTTATCGTGGGGATTTAATCTAACGCAGTTAAATGTGATGACCTGAGCTTTGTGCTGTGTAGAATTACAATAAGTGTAATTATGCGCATAAACAATAGCCAAACTTGTATGTTTTTAAATTATATTATTTTATATAAATTTATATTGTGTTATATTATATTATATTATATTATATTATATTATATTATATTATATTATATTATATTATATTATATTATATTATATTATATTATATTATATTATACTATATTATATTATATTAATTTATATTTTATTATATTATCATATATTATAATAATTTATATTATATTATATTATATTATATTATATTATACTATATTATATTATATTAATTTATATTTTATTATATTATCATATATTATAATAATTTATATTATATTATATTATATTATATTATATTATATTATATTATATTATATTATATTAAGTTTATCAAAAAGAAAAAAATATTTATTTTCAAAGTATTAAAGAAAATCTCTTAGGCTTGTTTAGTTATTTTACTACTGTAAGTAAAATATAAAACGTGATAAATACTTTAAGGATAGTGTGAGTTTGTGTCAGGTTTTGCAGCCCCACAAAAGAAAAATCTATTTAAAAAAAATACTAAAATCAATTTTTATTTAAATGTACTAAATTTAACTGAATTATTATTATTATTATTATTATTATTATTATTATTTACAAAATAAAACAATTTTCAATACTTAAAATACTACATTCAAAAAGATTCCTGTAAGGTTAGGTTGAAAGCTAGATCTATTTTTTTATCTATCAGAAATTCATTAGAAAAACAATAGGCAGGTCCTCCAAAAAATCTGCACATGCATTATACTTAATTATGTTATCAGCAAAACTATTGTGTAGAGATATTGAAGACTCACTTTCTCTCCAAAAGCAGAGGCACCACTCAGCTGTGGACACTTTGCCATCGCGGTAAGAGTCACAGGAGTTGAAGAAGGGCCGTATACACACTTCATACTTGTCCAGATTAATGGCAGCCAGTTCAGCTTGATCCAGATACAGGTCACTGTTCGTGTCCAGCTTGGAGAACATCCAGCCAATAGAGTCCTTACAGGTCGCAACAAGAGTCCGGTCCACAACTGTGCACAAAAAAATCATGCAGTATATTTTAATAGAGAAATATTACCCAGAAATAATAATAATACAATATAATATAATATAATATAATATAATATAATATAATATAATATAATATAATATAATATAATATAATATAATATAATATAATAATATTTTTTTAATTATATAGTGCTTTTCAAACACCCAACATGAACAAATAATCAGTGGACAGAGATACAATAACCCATTCTAATGAGCTTTTTTTTCAAAAGCCATCGCTCCCAGAACAGCTGATTGCATCAGATTAGCTGTAAAAAAATGCAATCAAAGTTGTTGTACAAGCAATACCGCTGTTCAATTTTGCTGATAAGATAATAAATCACTGTAATGAAAGCCATGGGCCAAAAAAAAAAAAAGTCATGAGTTTTTTTTCCTAAACAAACTGTAAGTGAGGTGAAACTCATATACAACTCTGGATGCAATGAAGAGATTGCTTCAGAGTAATGAATTGTTCTTTAATAGGTATGCGTTTTGAGTAAAATACTCATTTGTGTTTTATTCTAATCAGAATATTTTATATTGACCTGATTTAAAATAATGTGGATCTGGTCGTTTTTTATACTATTAAATGTACATATTACATTTCAGTATCTGGAATGCTTAAACATTCAATTGCATTTTACAATTCAGCAAAACTGCTTTTTTGAGAGGATAAAATGCTGCAGGTGCTGTTTGGCCATCAGGATAGCACACGATTCGAACATAATACAGTATCTCTGAATGTGCTGGCGCTCATGAAAATTTTATGCAGTAGTTTTATCACTGACTATTAGTACAGGACCATGTTTAAAAACACTAGAGAAAACAAGCATTTTGCAGCACTCTCTCTGCTTCATTCAGCATGACAGGATGTGCAAATGACACTCAAATTTGTAAGCAAAATGTTTCAACTGTAAATGAAAGGCTGGTAGGATTGTATTGAGAATTTTAAGATCTATTAACCTGACTAAATCAAATAACTAATAAACAATGCGTCAATGGCACTGTCTCAGATGTACACACTCTTTTTTTTTACTGTGATTTTTTCTCCCTGAATGAATGTGAAAAGCCCAAGGTTTACTTTTTATTTACACATGAGTACTCATATAGTTATCAAGTATACAGTATGCCCACTTTATCAGTCTTTACAGGCTGTTGCTAGAAGGGATACAGCTGTGGCTGAAGGTTAACAAGAATTATTTACACTGTAAAAACATGTTGGTTCCACACAATTCCTTCATGTTGTCCAAACACAAATTGAATAAGTCAACTTAATTGTTTTTACAACTTTAAGTTGATTAAACATAAAACAATCCAACTGTCTCAAAAAAGTTTTAAAATAGTAAATGTTTGAGTGTACATTTTTTTAATTACCCATTAATTGTATTTTATTGATGTCTACCCCTACTCTAACCCACACATTAATTTAAAAATATTAATTATTGTTGTACAGTGTCGCAAAACTTTGCTATTTTGATGCGAGTATCGGCAGCTGTCATACAGACCTCATCCTCTTTAAATACCTCACATGCATACTATTTCCAAATGTATACATTACATGTACATAAGCTAACATATGAGTTGGGTAAGATGAAATGGAAAATAATAATAGATCATTAATCTGATACTGCTGACCGCTAAGGACAATACAAAACACACTGAGTACAAACTCATTCTTTTTTCCTCTGCATCTGCTGTACATGGTTTTTGTATGCACCTAAAAGTTAAATACTAAGTTTACTCAAAAATGAAAGTTCTTTCATTATTTACTTACCCTCATGTAATTTTCATTTCACCATCGGAACATAAATTAATACATTTTAGTTTTAAGAACTTCCTCATCCTCAATAGCAACATTCACAAGACATTCAGTCCATGAATGGAACCATAAACACTGACAAAACATCCAGTGTGACTTCAGGGGTTCAACTGTAACCATACGAAGCTCCAAGAACACTTTTCTGCACCAAAAAAACTGTAAAAATGATCTTGTTTGCCTATGTCTCCAAGCCAAGCTCATTCTGAAAACGTATCGCTATATACATTTCTGGAGTGCGCCAAATACATCCCAGGAGCTATGTTTTTTTTGCCGTTTTTGTTTTCGCGAATCCACCAGAGACCTCTGTGTATGCTTCTTCAGGTCTCAAATTTGTCTTGTGAGTGCCATACCCGCCTGCTCTTCTTGCGTAAATCCACCAGAGGCTGCTGTTGATTGACTGACCGACTGACCAATCGACTGAGCCACCATCCTCCTTCCCCAAACCCAACCAATAGTGTTTTCAAAAGCACCGAGTGACCCAACACACCCAGTTCCTTAAACCCATAAGACGGCTGACTTTTACCACATTTTCAGATTTTACCGCATTCTCGCCGTTATTTACTTTTTTATTTTCTTTTTTGGCTTCTGTTTTTGTCTTACCTGCTTTTTGGAATTGTTCTTTGCCAGACATGAACCCCAAAGTTGTGGTCAACTCTTCTCTATGTCTCAAGTCCACCAATGCACATGGCGAGCTACTGGACGACGAACTAGTAACAGCACGAAAGCCACCCATATGGAGGTAAGCGGTAAGCGCGAAAAGGAAAAGCATCATACCACCCCATAGCATTCGTTTTAAATACAAAATGCAGCCATACGTACTTCTGGCTACATAATTCGCTATCTCCAGAAACATATATAGGGTTTTGTTTTCATAATGAGGCTGTTGCAACCCATGTCTCCCATGTCAGACCATGTTACATGTTTACTACAGGCAATACGGTACTTGTGTGTTGTGCTTCTACCTCTAATAGTGTTATGTCATATTGCCTGTAGTAAAGGCAGACCCTGATGACTTGACTTAGAGAAGACAGTTTAATTAAGTCATATTTACTTGCTTTTTGGTGCATAAATGTGCTCTTGGAGCTTAATTTGATTACGGTTGAACCACTGAAGTCACATGAAATGTTTTGACCATGTTTTTGGTTCTTTTTTTCACTTGAAGAGCTCCCAGATTTTATATAAAATATCTTAAGTAGTTTTCTTAAGATAAATGAAGGTCTCAGTTGTTTGGAACGATTAATAATAGAATTTTCATTTTTTGGGTGAACTGGTTATTTTATGCCATCCCTGCTTCATTGACCATCATTAATGTGTATCAGTTTTAAGGCCTATTGACAACAAAAATATCATTGATTAATTGTTGCCGTCTCTACTGTCTATTGAAGCATGCTGTAATATTTCTTCATTTGTAAGCACAGGCTGAATGGAAGTCTCACTTGATGCAGAACTGGCTGCAGGACTGCCTGTGCTGTTCTGCTTGCCGTTGCCTTGGAGCAGTTGAAACCAATCCCGCAGGCGATCGCCCAGATCTGCCAGGTCCTGTCCTGTGCAACTCTCTGTGGACAGACGAGAAGAGAGACGCACACAGTCAAAGGAGATAACAGAGTGTTGGCAGACGCCGCTATTAAAGAGTGAAGAAGCAATCGTCCTGCTTTTGCCCTTCTGATTTTGACAAGAAAAGCCCACAGAGACTGCAGACATAAATCAGACATAATCAAAGTCAGCAGAAATTCACAAAGCCAGCAGAGAGAGAGAGAAAGAGAGCAGCAAAGTCTGTTGATAAATCAATAAAGCCTTTGTTAGAGCGAGAGCTGCAGATGCTCAGGGGATGTGAAAGAGACAAACAGCATCTGAAGACATCGCAGAATAAAACCATTCATTATGATCATCACAACGCGATCGTATAAATTTAAAAGCTGGACCTTATGTTGTGCTTCGTTCAATACTTAGGGTGTTGTTTTATTAAAGAATCTTGAAGGAATAGTTCATGGAAACATGTTATTTTGTTGTGATATTCTCAAAAGTTTATGACGCAAACGGATAGATCACCCCAAACTAAAAATAAACCGACAATTCTGTCATAATTTAGTTACCTACTTGCGTACCTGCTTTAACAGAGTTAGCTTAGCAAAGCCTACAGCGAACAAAGTTTGGGGACTATAAAAAAATACATCCGAACTGGTGAGATCACAAGCGCTTCAGGTTACGCACATTCACCATGCGCATATACCCCGCACAGCAAAGGGCAGAGAAACTAAAATGCCGTCCAAATGCTGTTATTTCCACAGAGCTTGTTCTGTTTCTGTATCTGGGCTTCCAAAGGAAACGACACAAAGAGAAATGTGCTTACAATTTAATTTTAATTATGTTCCAGAGTATTATAAAAAACATATATAGCTAGCATTTGACAAAGGGCAGCTTCCAGAATCTCTCCTAGTTCAGTGCTGGATTTGGCTAAAACTCCTCCAACCATAATAGACGAAACTGTGAATTGTGAACCACAACCTGTAAGTAATTTACAGGTTGATCAATTACATGCACAGTTTCTAGCGTATGTTGTAGCGAGGATGTAAACAAGGATATAAACAACGGGAAATTCTGTTTAGCATCGCTAACAATTTAGCTACAAATTCATGTTTATCAAACCGCTGTAAACAGCCACAATTTTAAGCAGTGCTGCTGTGTCTCTCTATGTAGCCGCTTTCCCTGCTTTCTACATCTCATATAACAAACTCGCAAAAGATATGTGAACGTTTCATTTTACTTACACATGCTAATTCCGAATGTTTGTAAAAGACACTTGTCAGATTTTATTTTAGAGAGCAGGTGTGAGGTTCAGCTGTGTCCTCTGTGTTATTTTCTGTCTGATTCAGGGACAAACTGATACGGTTTACAGCTAATCTGACTAACAGTATTGACACAGCACAAAAGTGCCTGCTTGATGGCGCATAATGCTTTTCCTGGTGTCGTAAGCCGATCAGCGAATCACAGCAAATTATGTTAGCTGACCAGACCAGAGGCTCTTGAGGGTGGACGTTTAGAGGAACTAAAAAATATGACAGTCATTTTCATGTTTCATGTTAATTGAGAACATGGTAGAAGAAACATTTCAAAGTTCATTGATTACATGATTGTTTTTAGCATGGAACAAATGGAAAATCTACTTTGTGTGATGATTTTGGCCTTGAAATATTATTATTATTATTATTATTTGTTTTTGTGTAACTGATTAATATTGTTTTTTGAAGTCATATTCTGAAGTGATTTACTTGATTTATATCTTTATGGAAGTTTATTTAGTATTTCATCACCCGTTGATTGTCTTGTAAATGGTATTGATCGGTATTGTGAGTTGAACTGGCCTGGAAATCTAAGTTCATTTGTTTTTTGATAAGTTTGTGTTGAAGTTGAAGCATGTTTGCTTTGTTTTTTCTCCTTTATTAATATATTGATTTGCTTGATTGAACATTTGTTTTTGTTTTATTTGATTAAATCATACATTTGTTGAACCTTTATTTTTTTTATTTAATTGACCCTGCTGAAAAATCCAGCTTAAACCAGACTAAGCTGGTTGGCTGGTTTTAGCTGGTCGACCAGGCTGGTTTTAGAGGGGTTTTGGCCACTTCCAGGCTGGTTTCCAGCCATTTCCAGCCTGGTCTTAGCTGGTCAGGCTGGGAGATGACCAGCTAAAACCAGCTTGACCAGCCTAGCCAAGCTGGCAGTCCAGCCAAAACCAGCTATATCCAGCTTAAACCAGGCTGGTCAAGCTGGTTTTAGCTGGATTTGGCTGGTCATTTTCCAGCCTGACCAGCTAAGACCAGGCTGGAAATGGCTGGAAACCAGCCTGGAAGTGGCCAAAACCCCTCTAAAACCAGCCTGGTCGACCAGCTAAAACCAGCCAACCAGCCTAGGCTAGTTTAAGCTGGATTTTTCAGCAGGGGAATTATTTGAGAAACTGTAGTGAGGTTTTCTACCCTTGGCACCCAACCTATTTTATTTGCCAAATACCGCTACAATTCAGTCAGCAGATTATCAGTAGGCACATGTGCACTTTCCTCTCTCATAAACACTTTAATATGATTGCGCTCTCATGCTACTTTGCCCTGTTTAGTAAACCTATACCAAAGTTGTGCAGGTGTGGAACGAGATGAGTAAACCATTTTTTTGGCTGGACTATCCCTAACATGTTTTGCATAACCAAATGGAAGAGCATGTCAGGTAAATACTGTACCATGTTTGCCGTCCACGTCTGTAGCAGGAGCCGTGGTGGCGGTACAAGGACAAAGACCAGGACATCTCACTTTCAGCTCCTTTCCTGCGAGACAAGCCTGCTGCTCCAGTTTACACTGAATCACAGGTGCAAAACACACAGAGAAAACACAAAGAAAATGAATAAGCAGAGGCGCCATCACACTTGTCCACTGTCACATGCTGCACTTCAGCAACATGAACTATGAGCCAAGACAGAGCACAATTATTTCTGCAGATGACTGAAAAATCACTGGTTCAGACAAGACATCTCCATTATAGAAAGCTGATTTCAACCTTCATTTCTTCCCTCACAAGGTCAGAAATAGATATAATGGAGATAATGCATAATTCAAAAGAACGGCTCTTTTATCCCCCCCAAGTATCCAGAATCCTCTCAGACAATTCTTCTTTTAGGACGTCAAGGGCCAGAATACTAAGGTATAATAAAAAGCGTTAAGCATATTGCACGAGCAGATTGATCCATGAGTCATGCAGAAAATAATATAGAATTACAAAAGTATGTCCTGTTAATGGCACAGCAAAACAAGAGTAGAAATAGCATCATGATGTGTTCATTGTTCAAAACCATGCAAGAGAATGTTGAAGGATATTGAAAGAATTATGGATGTTCTCTTAGGGTTTGTTGACAGAATTTAATCAAATATTTCTACCAGATCAGATATTAGATTATTGGGGTGTTAATATAGTCATTTTTAAACAATATCAGTCATTAGTTCAGTGTTAGTTTAATTAGCTGCTAACTGCTAATTTAGCTTTAGCAGTGTTAGCTTTTTTGTTCATTTATTCATTCTCCTTCGGCTTAGTCCCTTATTTATCAGGGGTTGCCACAGCGGAATGAACTGCTAACTATTCCGACATATGTTTTCAGTTGCAACCCAATACTGGCAAACACCCATACTCTCGCATTCACACACACACTCATACACTATGGCCAATTTCAAAAGTTCACATCTAGCTAATGATTGATAATAAACCGTATATGACATGCTGTCCTATGAGAGAGCCCCGAGCTCAAAATATCCTCGAGCCCGGGGCTCCCTCCCGTTCGAAGGGCGAGAGAAGAGTTTGAGTTCAGGTAGGTCTTGAGAACTCCCCTGCTTGTGAACGTGCTGAAATATATCTGGCTTAAGAGCTGTCTTAAGATGCTATTTTGAAGTAGTCAATTTAGTTATGGTGTATGTCTTTGGACGGTGGGAGGAAACCAGGAAAACCCACACGAACACGGGGAGAACATGCAAACTCCTCACAGAAACGCCGACTGGCTTGGAGAGGGGCAGAACCAGTGGCTTTCTTGCTGTGAGGCAACAGTGCTAACCACTGGGCCACCGTGCCGCCCTATCAGAGAAGGGAAGGAGTAGGGGTGGAAGCAGGGATTCTTCAAGACGAAGATGGCTGGAGTAGAAAGCTCTGGTTATATGTAGTGTAGTGCAATATACGTAGCTAATGTGGTACCAGCTGTGTTCAATCATACGCACGTTATCCTCTCGAAATTAGTTTATAAAGAAGACCTAAAGAAAACACACATGAACACGGGGAGAACATGCAAACTCCACACAGAAATGCCAACTGACCCAGCCGGGACTTGCACCAGTGACCTTTGTGCTGTGAGATGACAGTGCTAACCACTAAGCCATTTTGCCGCCATCTTTTTTGTTTCCTTTTTAAATTAAATTTTCATTATTTCGAATGAATAGTGGATTTACAGCTAAAAAACTAACACGCGCACAAGCACACACAAACACAAACACACACACAAAAATGACGTATTAAATTAACTGTCCTTGTCTTTCATGTAATACATCTTGTTTGCCTTTTATAACTATTGTGTGCTTTCGGGGAAACAGGTCTGGAGGCATTCATGAGGAAACTTGCTCTGAGGCAAATTTCTAACTGAGCTAACTGAATCCAGATGGGACGTTTAACAAAAGTAAAGAAAGATTTATGCAGAATTCAAAAGCTTAACAAATATTAAGTATCGGCTGTAACAGAAATTCATCATGATTTAGATAAATGCTGAATGCAAACGTTAAAACAATATAAAACAACATTAATCAGCATCTGCTGTCATCAAATATAGTCTAATTTTAAGGTATAACAAAGCAAAAGAGAATTAAATACAGCACCTAAAATTTAATGTCAAAAAAAGTGTGAACAAGCACAAAAATGCAATTATATCCAAATAAGCAGAACTGCAGAGAAATTGATCTTACCTTCTGCATGATCAATTTCTCTGCAGTTTTTCTTATTTTAATGCAACTAGAAAGCTGAATGTGGTGTGAAGTACCTGAGAGGCGTAGTTGTGTCCATCAGAGCCGCAAACTGGACCAGAGGACGACACTGGACAAGGCTTACAGTTACTCTCCTGCTGCTGTCTGATGACCTGCTGCTTCAACCTAAACCACATCACTCAATATTAACATCAGCCATCAATGTCCAATTTAAACTTGACATTTGCCTTTTAAATGCAGATTAATAATTAATCATTGTTTTTATTATTATGGGTTTTAAGCTTTAATGGATAGAACAGTGCAGAGTATTGACCAAAAATCATTGGGAGCAGAAAAAGGGAATGATTGACAAAAGACCTCAAGGCAGGAATCAAACTCGGGTCACCGTAAGCACAATGACAGCGCACTAAACACTATGTTATTGGTACTGATCATTTGCCTGTTTTAAATTTAAGGTTTGAAGAATGTTCTTTTTAGTTAGTTGTGTGGAGCAATTAAAATCGTCATGTTAGGAACATCTTTAGATATGTTCAATTTGTAGATATATATTGTACACAATGTGATTTAATAAACTGCTCTTATTTCTCCTCTGTCAGGTTTTTTCTTACGATATGGGGTGTGCAATATTTATAATGTGTGATATGATTGTAATTGTGGTTTTATTGTTGTGAAAGCTAAAATTATTGAGCATTTCAATCACTTTGCAATTAAACCACTGTGTGATGAAGCATATTTCAGTGCAATTAAAGTATTTCTTTAATGCAAGTTACTGTATAAAAGCAAAAACAAAACAATAAATCTCTGTATGGATTAATGTTTTAACGTTTATAATAGTTAAGACACAATAGCAAATTAGTCCCTAATGTCATCATGTGATCTGTGTGGTTTACTACTAATTTATAGGTTTAATAATATATATTTGTGCATCTCAGAGCTCATAGTTTTTGACTGAATCAAGTGAGCCAATGATTCAATTATCCATCACTCAATTATAGTCTTATATGTTTGAATAAATTGTTTGAGTAAATGGTTCAATGAACCTGTCACAGCGGATCGCTGGAGAGCTACACACACACCACACTAAAGAACTGCAACTCCCAGCATGCACCTTGAACACACCGGTTTCTGTTTCCCACTGATTGCAAACACACAACAGCTTAAGCTGAACATGGACTGATTTAAGGACTGTATAAATAGCATGCACACACGACTGGGCTGAGTCTTGTTCATCTGTGTAGCGTACATTACGACGTGTTTCTCTTGCCTTGCTATGTTTGATCTCTGCCTTGTCTGTTTGTTTACGCTGCCTGACACTGGGCATTCGCCTGTTCTTTGTACACGACTCTGGATTCTCTATATGTATCTGTTTGACCCTGTTGTCCGTTGCCTGCCTGATCATTCTTATAATAAACCTGCATTTGGATCCTCAACTCCTTTGTCAACGTCCCTCACATAACAGAATCCCTATTAAGACAGAAACTTGTCATGAATCACTAGTAAATTTAGTATCAATTTAAAGAATTCAAACTAAAAATATTGTAAAATCCCCCTAAAATCAGACTTTTTGTATTATAATCATACCTCTCAAGTGAGCAAACATTTTAACATTCTAAAACACTGGTGAAAATAAAGGGGTCATTGCATTTTTGATGATTTAATTGTCCTTAGTATTCACTAATAATGTTGCTTTTTCACCAATACAGTCTTAATTTATTTTTTATTTCTTCTGCTTCCTGTTGATGTCTCTTTACAACCTGGTTACACAAAGTTTAGAGTAAACCAAAGATTATGCCATATAATACATATATACATATATATTCAATTAGGAAATTTAAGGGTGCCCTATAATGAAAATTTGTGTACAGGTGTACCAAGGCATAAAGAATAATTAATAGAATAATAAAGAGTTCACACTTAGCTGATGAATGATTATAAAGCTTGTTTGGCATGCAGTCACGGGAGAGGGCCCCGAGCTCATAAGATCCTCGAGCCCAGGGCTTCCTCCCGTTTGCATGGCGCAAGGAGAGTTTGAACTCTCTTTGATCTGGAGAACTCCCCTGCTGTAGTAGCTAATGAACAGATAGTGATTGCTCTTAAGAGATAACTACTTACTAGGAGCAAGTCTATAGTGCCGATTTGGATTAGTCAATTAACTTAAGTTGCATGTTTTTGGACGATTGGAGGAAACCGGGGAACCCGGGGAAAACCTACGTGAGCACAAGGAGAACGTATAAACTCTGCAGAGAAAAGTCGGCTGGCTTGGTAAGGACTAGAACCAGTGACGATCTTGCTGTGAGGTAACAGTGCTAACCACTGGGCCACCGTGCCACCCATCTAAGGAGGCGGAGTAGCGGTGAAAGGGGGGATTCTTCAAAACGAAGATGGCTGTTATAGGTAAACATAAGGTATTTATAGTGGCTTAGGAATCATCTGATTGGTGAATCATAAATTGAATAATGCGAGGCCGGCTGCAAGCAATCATAAGCACATGATCCTCTCGAAATTTGTTTATAAATATACTTCACAAAAAATCAGTGTATGGAAATGGGCATACTGTGAGACTCATACATCTTGTTTCCTTGTTCGCATTTAAAATCCACGAGTGTAAAACTCGTGTGGACAACGAGCCTTTAGAGGACAAAACAAACGGTGATGAGACTCATGGGCCATGCCCTCCGCATTTGTATGTATTCCTAATTCGGGTCGTTCATCCAGACCTGATGAGCAGCCATGCCTTCAAGCTCTGAGATCATAAAACTACTCCTTTACATGCATGCATCATGCTGTGTTTGATAAGAAACAACGTTTCCTAGTAAGACAACAATGATAATTTCCTCCCCTGTTTATTTTTAAGCATACACCTCACTTACTATATATGTGGGACTTTTATTTTGAAAATGCGAGCACCAATTAGTTTACTGTGCGTTATTGGGCAACGACAGCACGAGACATGTTTCAATATTGCCTCAGAACGCAAAATGCATGAGATTTACAGATTATACATTAATTCATCTTTAAATGAGGCATGACGTATGTTTAGTTGCATATTTTGTTAATTTATAGTGTTTATTGTAAATTTTTATGCATATGTTTCAACAAACAAGCTGAATCGTGTCAAATCACTCAGCTCAACTGCCATGTTCATGCAAAGGTTGATATTAATTCTTGATGGTGTTTTCTGTAGCTTTAAAATACAATTCCATACATATGTATCCCTTTATTTTGTCAAGTTTAATGATTTAGCCTTTATCTACAACAGATCTGGTGAGCAAAATAGGTTAACGTTACTCTGATTGGGTTTATATTTGTCCGTGTTTAACGTACATCATGCTGTGTGTGTGTGTGTTTGTGTGTGTGTAAAAGCAGCATGTCAGAGCGAAGCGCATTAATACTCACGACACGAGCCATTTACGGTCAATCATGGACCTTCTGATTATATGGGTGTTTTATGGAGTAATTCATGAGCATATTAAACCGTTTTTGGAGATTTTTTTTAACTTACTAAAGCTATAAACCTACTATGTAGATGTCAGAGAACAATTTAACATATTAAACCAAAGCAGTATATGGCACCTTTAAAAAAAAAAAGTGCCTTAGAAAAAATCATTACTGTTATAAATTTTGAGACAAAACAAAGGCACTGATATATTTTAAGATCAGTAAGTGCAAGTTTCTTTCAAACGACCTGTTCAGATTAACATTTTTGTAACTAGTTTTAAGCCAGTCTGTAAAACCAGAAATAAGACTTCTTTCTACCCTGCCATCTTTGTTCATGAGCACTCTCATTGTTTGGAGCATCTTCTGTCTCTTAATTATATATATCCAATTATATTCTGGATTCTTAATTATATAACCACGTTAAGTAATGAAAAGCTGTTTGTATTCTGCACAATGTTGTAGCATGGCATGAAGCTTCTCTGATTCATACCCTTAAAAAGCAAGCACAAACCAGTCATGTATTACTGCTTTGGGCATGGAGAGAGGGTAGTGTAGCTCACCTGTGCTCCAGCTTCTTGCGATTGACACACACGGCGCGCTGGTAGCCTTGAGCAACACACACTTTATGTCGGCTGCACTTCACCTTCTGGCAGGGATCTTTAGTTGTGTCGACATCTGCAAGAATGAGAGATGTACCCAACAATCTGTTAAGAATTTTGCCTTTCAATAACATGACATTAAGGGCCCTGTCATACACCTGGAGCAATAAGGTGCAAGACATGTATGGTGTGATGTGTTGCTACTTTCAGACCAGCTCAACAGTAATTTTCACATTTTGTGCCACGTTTTTTTAAATAGCAAATCCATTTGCGCTACTTTGTGGACTCAGGGGTGTTCTGGTCTATAAAGGAGGTGTGTAAAGGCACATTGTTGGCACATTGCCATTTTGAGGAACTGAAATAGACAGCGCCATTGACCAACTGAAAGCTTGTCTTAAGTCCAGTGCAAAGCACATTAGTTATGTGCCTATGCAGGTCCAAACACTGACACAATAAACACAGGATGTACAGAAATACACAAACATCTTTACTCATAATAAAAATTAAAGGATTAAAATGCTACAAAAATTATTATTTTCTACATAAATATATATTAAAAAAACACTACCTCAATGCCTTCTTCTACCTCTAGGGGCTTTTTCATTTTTTCATGACAATTTGTATTTATATAATGTTACTATTATTAGCAGTATTATTTATTATAGCATATTTATATTTGTTTTAACAAAAACAAGTTTCGATTTTTCCACCTGTTGGGCTTTTGGAGACGTATGTATCACCATATGGGGCATAAGAACAGGACACGTGTTTGGATATATCTCAGTTTTTGACCACACTTCATTATTTTTGTTCATTTGTTTATTTTATATAACTACATAGAACTGAATTTAGAAATAATTTTGAAACAAATCTTTGCACTTAACAATTGAAATTAAATATGTAGGCTGATGAATGTCTTCAGTGGAGTGCGTACAACACAGTTTCGTTACTCCACCAAAGTAAAGGAGTAAAGAGTAAAAGTAAAGTAAAGCGGCTGAATAGAGGAGGCTCATTCTTAATCCTTGCACTGCAGTTGGTCTGTTTAATTGTTTTCTTACTAGTGAAGCGTTCAGTTTTTCTTATTACAAAGTCCGCCATGTAAATAGCAAATGTGCCATGGCGCGATGCAACTGACTCTTAAAGGGAATGTGAGATGAAACACATTCATGTTATGCTGAATGCATGTTATGCTGAATGTTATGCTTAATGCATGTTATGCTGAAAACACACCCATAACTCTTTAGGAGAATAAGAACAACCCTGTTATGCTGTGTTCACACCAGACGCGTAACGCGCGGAAATAGTCGTGTGAACATTTGAGGTTACTCGCTTCATTCGCGCGTCAAACGCCGCTTCATTCGCGCGTCAAATTCACTTCAGAACAGACGCGGATTCGCGTGATGGGCAGGGCTTCTGTCTGCCCCGTGACTCTAGCTTCATAGCTAAAGGGCTAACATGGATTTTATGAAGAAAATAACAGTGTTTATGTGCTTTATGTGTCTGAGTCCACTACATCCTTTCAGAGGTGCATCCAGCTCTTTAAGCTCATAGACTCCTCCAGAAACTGAACCTGGCTGATGGAGGTTTTCAGCGGTGCTTCTGACTGAGCCCAGCCCAGTTTGATGAACTTCTTGTCGGTGTCTGCTGGGGAATTTCCCCTGGGACACCAACAACAGGCGATACGTCACAATCACGCCCCCACAAGAGCAAGCTCCTGATTGGTTAACGCATCGCAAATGTCCGCTGAAGTTCAGATTTTCGAATGCGAGTGATTCGCGCAAAACACACATTAAGTGCGTCAAACGCGCAAAACGCTCAAATCGCGCCATGCGCAATTCTCGTCATTCGCGCCGCAGGATGTCTATTCGCGCGTTTGCATTGACTTAACATGTAAATCACTTGCGCTTGACGCGCGTTCCGCGTCTGGTGTGAACGCAGCATTAGACCATGCACCAAGGTGCAGAACATATTTTTAAATCCTTAAGATAGCAAAAGTGGATTCAGACATTCCTTAATGCTTTTGCACCATGCGCTTTAGACTTTGTGCCTAGCGCATCAAAATAGAGCTCTAAGTATTTTTCTAAGATAGAAAGCCTTGTTTTTAGTGACACCAGTGGCTATTAGGTGAACTGCAGCCAGAAACTTCTAGAAACTGTGCATGATTCAGTTAACAGAAAAATTACTTATGATAAAATTTTCCATTGTTTAATTATAAATAAACTTTTCCAGCAATATGATAATTAACACTCAAAACACCATCCATGCTGCTGTAAGCAATGAATATGTAAATCTGTGCAGCACACTTTACTCTTGATAACAATATAAACAACAGCAATTAAAAAAACAACAGTTTACTCATATAAAATATATATTTTTACATACACAAAACATCTGCATTATCATAGCAATATGGATCTTACCAAAGTCACATTGAAAAAACAGCATGCTTAATGACTGTTTTTATGGCTGTTTGATTATTGCTATATTCTGGAGATGTGAAGCTATAGTTAGATTTAATCCTTGTCTTTGCATGAGGTACTGATGTTTACATACAGCCTTTTTAGTATTAGGATGATGATAATTGTGTAAGAATTCATTTCAGACATGAAAGACATGCTTCTCAGAGATTGCTTTTGATTTTCCTGGAAAAACAATCCTGCATAAACCCTACATACAGTCAAAATCCATTTTCAGTTTTCATGTACAAGGAATCATGGAATCAGTTTGTATGGTATTATATAATTTGGTGACTTGTCAGATAGAGGTTTTAAGATTTACTGACTTTTTTGCACCATTCAGCATTATAAACCTTAATAAACGCATGAGCAAGATATTGCTATTTAGTAAAAGTTTTAAACCAGCATTTGAGGCTTTTGCTTTTAGCTGTTGAAACCTGAATCTTTTAAATCTGTTGAATGATTTGAATTCACGATGGAAGGCAGTATCACAAAGGGTTTTTAGGACACTTTTAACATTTTTTTTTTATTTTATTTATACAGTTGCACTGTCAAACTGTTGTATAAATGCAATATCACTCAAGTTACAGTGCTAAATTGATTTCCAATCACAGCAGTGCTAATAATATACTGAATCGCACTGCTATTCATATACAATTGCTCATATGTACAGTATGCAACAGCACAAGGTTGATCACTAAAGCCTTACTTTATCAACAGGCTCGAGCAGATTAAAGAGAACACAAGAATGATGATGTTGCTATAGCAACAGTCCAACTCCAGAGTGAGCGCTGATTAGCTGCTCATACAAGTGGGAAAAAAGAAACAAAGGACTCTCTTTGTGTCTGTCCATAATCACCATTAACTATTTCTTATGAGCAGTGGCCCTGTGAGCTTCTCTCATAAAACACACCATGAAGGTCTCCATTCATAAGCCATGCCAAATCCGGCTTCGAAAGCAAAAGACTCTCGTCCATCATCGCTCTCAGCCTATGTTTACACACAGGGCAGAGTTTAATGTGTTCATTACTATTGCAGGGTCGGAGGAAAGAGTGAATGATTCAATATCAAGCCCATTCAGTGCCTGAACTAATGCAGCTAATATACATCAGCAGCCAGAGCCACTTAAAGGCGAGTATATCAGATCAACTCACAGGGAAAGGTTTACGGAGATAAGGATGCGATACATGCTGCGTACACAGGATGGAGAAAATTAAATAAATAAAACACGCTGATTAAATAAAGACGTCTCTGTTTCTTTTTAATGAACTGAAGCTTTGTATGCACTTGACGGCCTATTAATTTGTGCACAGACTGACTTGAATGACTGCTGAGATGCTCTTTTCACAGGTACACACACTGACAATGCGAAAAATAAAACATCTGGTTGGATTAAATTTGTCCACGCCAGCAACACTTTAATGACTTGTTAATGCATATGGTTCACACTGGATGTATGCAGAGCATAATGTATGATATCATGATATCGTAGGTGGATTAATAGGTATATGCAGGAAGAAATGCCTTCATGCACTTTCAATATACTCAGTAAAGTTGTTTTTTGTGCTTTGTTTAGGGAAGGGATGCCCAAACTTTTTTTGTGTGAAGGGCCAAAAACCAAACATCATTGAGAGGTGCGGGCCAAAGGTAAACATGCCAAATTATAAAACATAGAAGTTGCCATGGCTAATTTCCTAATTTATTAAATATTTCAAAATAAACTGAAAACATTGCTTTAAATCATTTATCCAATGCAGTATAACTTTTTTAATTATACCTTATTGCCATAAAAACATAAACAATCGCATTTATACCACAGTGAAGTTCAATGCTGAATACTCTAGTCAAGCAGAAGCTGCCTTTGACTTGATTTGCTTACCAAAGTCTCAGCATTGTTGGATAACAGTATGCACATTCAAACAAAACCTGATTCATTTACACCTTTTAGATGAAATATTTAATTTCAGTAAGCCTTTAATGATAAAACAAGCAAAGGGATACATTAAATTTGAATTGACAAATTCTAAACTATCCCCATCATTCTCCCTCGGTTCTCAGATGGCAAGGCGGGCCAAATCAAAGGTTAACATGGGCCAACTTTGGCACGCTTGCACTAGTTTGGTCATCACTAGGATTATTTAAATACATGTTCCATATTTTCCTCCCAATAGCAAATTAAATATAACTAGGCTTAGAGCAGTGAGAAAACAGCACTTAAGAAAGCATCTCATGTATGTACTGTATGTATTTACTGTATTTAGCTGTGGATGTTTGAAATTGTACACTCTCAGAAAGAAAGTTACAAGAACTGTCACTGTGGCAAAACTTTTTCAAAAGGTACATGTTTGAATCTAATTCATTTGTTCCTTAAAGATTCATATCAGTACCTGTAAAGTACAAAAGTGTATACTTTAAGGTACTGTACCAATGTGGACCTGTTGGATACTGCTCTATTGACAGCTTTTACCACTTTATTTCTGAGAGGGTACATATTCAAACACCCACAGCTAATTAAATACATACAGCTGAAGTCAGAATTATTAGCCCCCCTGAATTAATAGCCCCCCTGTTCATTTTTCCCCCAATTTCTGCTTAATGGAGAGAAAACACATTTCTAAAA